AAGTGTCAATTTCATAGAATCACGTTGACGTCGAAGTGACGTCATGACTTGCGCCGCTACCTCTACTCCATAGATTCAAATGTCTGTTATTTGTAAACCCAAATTATAAAATATATGATTTGTATGTAAAGCGGCTATATATATAATTTACATATGTATAAATTTGTAAACGCTTTGTCGACGATTTTTTTTTTATTTTATAGAGAAGTATGCGAACTTTTGGGACAAATCTCGTATTATGTATATACACGAAGAAGCGTCCACTTATAAGATACACGAACACTTTGTGACAATCATTTGAGCCCGATTGCATCTAATCGAACAGCTTTCATACAAGACATGGTATTTACCTACCGGGTCTTTTGTTAAAGGCGGTCTAGTAAATCACTTACCAACCGCTTAACAGGCCTGCAAATATATACCGACCTGTTTTGTTCTCTAATTGAAAGCTGTGTGATGTTTTTGTGGGATATACTAACAGCGTGAGAAGAAATAATGAATGTTCTTTAAAACGAAATTTGCAGACTATATTATATACTTACAAAAAGAAGAAACGTCTCCCGTATAAATGTGCAGATATGTATATATGTGCAGATATACACAGATTAAAGTAGATTTATACGTATTGGCAAAAGTATTTTATTGCGATTGTTTGTGGAAAAAAATGCTGAGGGTTTATCCAGAATAAGTGGAATGGTAGGTAAAATGCAGAAAGGGTCTCCCCAAAAAATCACAAATTAATATCGGTTATGAGAAGAACTGCCTGGCAAATTTTGCGCACAGAACGATCAGCGTATTGATATCGGCTCCATTCCTGAATATTAACTGAATGACGTTTGACGATGGAATAGGGCGACGTCAATTTATCCTAAAGGTGTTCAATGAGATTAAGTCTTTTGGCAGGTCAGTCACTAAATGCAATGTTATTCGCTGGGCATTCAAATTCCCTTTCATAACGACGAGATTAGTGCAAAAGTGGTGTGAAATACCCTGCCCAGACAAAGACTGAACCCCTGCCCCCAAAACGATCTCATTAAAGTACGCAACAGTGGGCAAAATGTTCATGTCTCCTACGGTATACTCACGATGAATGGAAAACATCGACTAATCAGAGAAAAGAACGCTATTCCATTTTTGTCTAAGCCAGCGTTGGTATGTGCGTGTCCAATTAACACGATATACATGGCGGCGTCGCCTCAAAACACAACCAACGTATGGTCGACGTCCATGTCCACTACGTGGTCGATCTTCTGTATGCCCTGTTGCTTGAAAACGTTGCCTAAAGTGTCGAATATATAGCACGAGAAGAACATCCAATATATTCATAGCGACGACATTCATCGTCATTTCAACATTAAACATGCCAGTCGCACGTTCGCGTAAATTATACGGAGTTCTAGGCATATCAAAACTATAGAAAAACAGAAGAAAAAATCAACGTCTTTTTCTTTTGGACATAAAAGTCTATAAAATTACAATGAAAGTTTTCATAAAAAAATACACGAATGTACTGGTCCCTGCATGCCCGTGAAAATCGTGCTGTATTCTCTGGCATTTGTTTTATCGGACGCATACTCGAGCGCCTGACTGTATGTAGTTCATTTGACATTTTGATTTTTAAACGGGGGGAAGTTTCTTTTTTTTCCCCGTAGATAATATACTCGAGTGCAAGCAATTGATACTGTTAACGAACTGGCTAAATATTCGGGTCAATCTCGTTATATTTTTCTTTTTTTTCTTTTGTATGTTAATAATTATTATTAATCGACAGTATTCATCATTAGTCAGCATAAGTGATAATCATCATTAGCTATATGATATACTCGTATCCCCATCAATATCATTATCATTTCTAGAAACATCATTATTCACCGGTAATATAATCGTATATACAATGTACAGTTGTCATAATGAATACATAAGGACGCGCCTTCTTCGAAGAATGATAGATCAAATATTTAAATGAAAAGGAAAGATCAAATATTTAAATGAATTCCTTTTCGATGTCGTGATAATCACTTAACAGTTCATATCGTATATGATTCAACTTTCTGATAAAATTAACATATCAACATCAGAATTCTGTTAGGGTTATGCATTATTATATACCCAGGTCAGTTTAGTAAACAAAGTGTAGCTATACTGGTATGTATATGGATATTTGATTCCTTCAGATACATTTGTGAGAACTTGTACCTGCCGACCAACTGCCGATGACCCAACCAAAGCCAATGGGAGTCGCCCAACAAATAAGGCAGGGACAACGACGAAAGAACACAGAAATTGACGGCTTGAAAGGCCGGCCCTTTGAGACTGGGCTATTCCCATCTCATATTGTCTCAGGTTACTGTACATGTAGGTTCTCATTGGTCGCCGTAGATTAGCCTATTTTTGCATCCACGTAGTGCTTGAAAATTAAGTTAATTAACACTTTAACCCTTAACCTCATATATACGCGAAACAACGCACTTTCGACCCCCCCCCCAAAGACTGTTTTTCGTTTGAGAAATGTTGTTAAAAAAGCGACCACTTTTTCGGCGCGCCCCCATCAAAAAGATGCATCAGGGGGTTGCCAGAATAAAAAAGCGACCACTTTTTCGGCGCGCCCCCATCAAAAAGATGCATCAGGGGGTTGCCAGAAGGGGGATGTGCCCCTTTTGTTGGGGGGGGGGGGTAAAGGGGGCGGCAGTCCCCCTCATCGCCAAGAAAATTTTGGACTTGTGAGAGGCTAAAAATGACCCAAGATCGATCATAAGGTAATCAACTCAAAATTGTGATTTTTGGCAATTTTGATATGTCCCCTCGTTGCCATTGTAACAGGAAATTTAAGCCTGAGCATGTTGTTACAAAGGCAATGGTCCAGTCAACATTTGTGCCAAGTTTGATTAGTATTGAAGCAGTTTTATAGTTTTATAGCAATTTGAAAAACAAGCCATTTTCACAAAAGC